ACAGGCAGGTGTGGTAACAGTGGGAGCAGGCCTTTGGGAGACAGGGTGGGTGTAGTAACAGTGGGAGCAGGCCTTCAGGAAACAGGCAGGTGTGGTAACAGTGGGAACAGGCCTTCAGGATATATATTTTATCGCTGATTTTTTTTTTAAATTAATAGACTTTTTTTCTTTTAAAGCAGTTTTAGGTTTACAGAAAAAATGAGCCAAAAGTACAAAGAGGTCCCATAAACTCCCCTACAAACACACACATACAGCTTCCCCTATTGTTAATAGCTTGCATTAGTGTGGTACATTTGTTAAAACTGGTGAACCAATAGTGATACATTATTATTACCTCAAGTCCATAGCTTACATTAGGGCTCACTCTGTTATACAGTTATGTGGGTTGTGACATTACAGTATCATGTGGAATAGTTTCTCTGCCCTAAAAGTCCTCTGTGCTCCACCTGTTCTATTCATTCCTCACCCACCCCTAGCCCTTGGCAACCATTTCTTCACTTTTCATCTATCTGTGTCTTTATATTTAAAGTGGGTTTCTTGTAGACAACGTGTAGAGTCTTATTTTTTATCCACCCTGACGGTCTCTGTCTTTTAATTGGTATATTTAGACCATTCAGGTTTAAAGTGATTGTTGATATAATTGAATTAATATCTATCATATTGTAACTTTGTAACTACTATTTTCCTTTTTTTTTTTTTGGTCCTCTGTTCTTTTTCTGCCTTCTCTGGTTTTAATAGAGTATTATATATGATTGCATTTTCTCTCTTTTAGTGTATTAAATATTCCCAGTTCCTCCCTCCTGTCTCTTATAACATTGCTATCATTCATTTCACTTATCTGTAAGCTATAATTACTGAACACATTGTTGCTATCATTTTGCACAAACTATTAACTGTTAGGTTTTATTTTACCTTCCTTACTCTTTCTCTAATGTTCTTCCTTTCTTTGCATAAATCTGAGTTTCTGACCTGTATGATTTGCTCCGAAAAACTACTCGTAGCATTTCTTGCAAGGCAGGTCGACTGGTGACAAATTCTCTGAATTTTTTTTGAGAAAAGAAAAACTTTTGCTGGATACAAAATTCTAAATGTCTTTCAACATTTTAAATATTTCACTCCACTCTTGTTACTTGCACGGTTTCTGAGGAGGAATGTGATATAATTCTTACCCTTGTTCTTCATACACACGGTGCGTTTTCTTCCTCTTTGAAGATTTCCTGTCTGATTTTCTGCAGTTTGAATATGATATGCCTAAGTGTAGTTTTCTGGTATTTATCCTGCTTAGTATTCTCTAAGCTTCCCTGATTTGTGGTTTGGTGTCTGTTACTAATTTAGAAAATTCCCAGGCATTATTCCTTCAAATTTTTCTTCCATTTCTTTGTATCTTTTGCTTCTGATGTTCCCATTACACGTTACACTTTTTGTAATTGTCCCATTTGTATTTGATTTTTAAACATGTGAATTCTTTTCAGAATTTTTAACTAAAGATTCTATTAGAACTTCACCTCTGCAGTCTGCCCCCCCCCCCCCGGAACCAGTAGCCCCAGTGTAACCAGAAGAAGAGCATCAGAAAAATTTCAGTAGAGGGGTGGGCATCATACAGTATATATGACCAGTACTCAGAACTGTCAAGCTCATGAAAAACAAGGAGAGTCTGAGATACTGTCACAGACTAAGGAGACATGACAGCTAAATCGGTGTGTCCTGGAACATTAGGGAAAAGACCGATGAAATCTGAGTCAAGTGTGTCTGGTGACCACACCCAGCCTTGGTTGCTTGTTTGTGAGAAAGGCACCGTGGTGATGTAAAGCTAACACGGGAAACTGGGTACAGAGTATACTGAAACACACTGTGTCTTTGCAACTTTCATAAATCAAAAACTATTCTAAAATCAGTTATCTTTAGAAATATTGTTATACTTTGCTCTTCTTACTCTGAAGTAATTGAAATGGCTGCATTTTTTGTTTAACACTTTACAAAGGATTTCTTACATGTTTTTTCTTATTTAACATCACAGTAGTTCTGCAGAGCAGTTAGCACAGGTATTACCCCCTGAACCTCTGAGAAACTGATTAGTAGAGGATGATGCCCTCGGTCATACCCCCAAGTGGTAGCCTGGGGCCCAGCAGTGCTGGATTTTGTCCTCCATCACAGATAATTGATAATGGGGCAGCTATTTTGTGGTAGGTATTTAACTTTCATCTAAGACTGGAAAAACATATCCTAAGGTAGCTATATTCATTTTATTTAGTAAAATTTAGGCACCAAGAAATACTTTGATGAAGTCTTTAATACCTTGTCATTTTGACGTCTTCCAAGGTTCTTCGGTGATCTACATTGATCATCTTCTTGGAGAAGGAGCCTTTGCCCAAGTCTACGAAGCTACCCAAGAAGATGTGAATGATCCCAAAAATAAACAGAAATTTATTTTAAAGGTAAATGATCTGAGGAGTTTTGCATGTTTGCCAGCTTTTTTTTTTTTTAAAGGCAGTGGTGATTTCATTTAGGTCTATAATCAGCAATTAGAAAATAAAACTATCCGACAAGGATTCAGAATTGTCTTGCTAGTAAAGTTGTCTTACAGCCAGTCCCATACTGCAGCAGCAGCTCCTAGCCTGCCATCACCTTCTGCCCCACTCCACTGCTGGGGTGGGGGCTGCTTTCTTGCTCTCATTGCCCAGAAGGAGAGACTGGATATGAATGTCACGTACTCAATTTGCAGGTCCAGAAGCCTGCCAACCCCTGGGAATTCTACATTGGAAGCCAGCTGATGGAGAGACTGAAGCCAGATATGCAACATATGTTTATCAAATTCTATTCTGCCCACTTTTTCCAGAATGGCAGTGTGCTAGTAGGAGACCTCTTCAGCTATGGAACACTATTAGTAAGTAGACGCGTATTTCTTGTTAGGATGTGAACATGATTGAAGTACATTTTTGTACCTTCTGTAATTGGAGCTTTTGCCAGTAGGACAGGAGCAAAGCTAGACTTGAAATTTCATGGTATCTTGTTCAACCCACTAAGGAGGATTCCATTTTCCTTTGTTTCCAGAATGCCATTAACCTTTATAAAAATACCCCTGAAAAAGTGATGCCTCAAGCTCTAGTCATGTCTTTTGCTATCAGAATGCTCCACATGGTTGAGCAAGTCCACAACTGCGAAATCATTCATGGCGACATCAAACCAGACAATTTCATACTTGGGAACAGGCAAGTGGTGCACGTGGAACGGGTGCTTCTCCGCACATTTCGAGTTGACTTTTATTTCTTGTTCTCATACAGCCTGACACTTGTTTGTGTTTAATACAGATTTTTAGAACAGGACGGTGAAGATGATGATTTATCCGCAGGCTTGGCAATGATTGACCTGGGTCAGAGTATAGATATGAAACTTTTTCCAAAAGGAACTACGTTTACAGCGAAGTGCGAGACATCTGGTTTTCAGTGTGTTGAGATGCTCAGTAAGAAACAATGGAACTACCAGGTACAGAACTAAAAGGAGAGGTTGGAAATTTTTTTCTTTTACTGTACTTCTCAGGTTTTCAAAATCAGTTTGAGGATCTGGTTAGTGTGAGCTGGTCTCTTGAGCAGCAGTTGAAGGAGAGATGGAACTCACAGTTGACGGGACTCAAGGGTAAAATTGTATTCCTGAAGAACACTCCCTTCTTACTGGTCAATTATAGATTCCATTACCAGAAAGGGAAAGTGGATAACTTCTGTGAGCTTGCTGATGCCTAATGGTCTGTGAAGCTTTCAGAAAGGAAGCCATTCCACGAGGAGCACGCTTGGTTTACTGAGATCAGACCAGTCCGGCGTGGTTTCCTTTGTGGCCAGGGTGACAGGGAGACCCAGAGTGCCCAGTCCAGGCTGGATTTGAGCACGGTGTTGGGTATGCCTGTGCTGCTCTCACAGGCGAGGTGGTGCACTCAGACTTCCAACTGATGACGCTGTCAGATCCAAAGGTGTCAAATGGGCTGTAGTTATCCTAGGGGAGAGTTTCTGGTAATTCGCCATAGGGTTCTGCTCTGGCCCCAGCACATGTCATCTTTGCAGTGTTTCCGATGACTGTATAGAGACTGTAGACATTAATTAGAGCACACCAAGCTCAAGTTTGAAAGAATAAAAAGCAAATTTAAATTGTTAGCAGAATTTTCAACAAGCTGAAATGTTAGATGACAAGTAAGGAGAATACTAATTGGAATAAATAGAAAGTTTTGAACCAAAAAAAACCAGCCACCCAGGTTCTGAGTGGGAGGTGTGGCTTTCCAGGAGCTCCTGATAAAGAGGGGAAGGGATGGGGATTTTAGGTGAGGTGCCTTTTAATTAGTTCTAGTCTGTCACTACCAGTGAGACCTTAGTGCGTATGAACAATGGCGTACGTCTACAGGGGCAGTGGGTGGTGGAGGTAGTCGTCTAACATCCACGCTGCAGCGTCCTTTTCAATGGTGAACACATCACACTCGGAGAGGAGCGGGGAGCACAGAGAACTCTCACCAGAGCCCTGGGGCAGGAGCTGGGCTGACTTCCAAGCTGGCAGTGTGGAAGAGGGTTAGAGCGGTCTGTGTGCGCCTGACAGGATGAAGGACACAGTGGCTCAGGAAGACAGAACTTCCCAGGGGGACCACCTTGGGAGTTGGTGGGTTGTCTGCTGCCAATGGAAGCCTTTTGGCAAAGCCTGGATAGACATAACTCTTTAAGAGTGTAATCACGGAATTATTTAACTTGTTGCCTAGGTTAGAGAGACATTTTACTATACCCGCTGCCGTCGAGCCGATTCTGACTCACAGTAACCCTATAGGACAGAGTAGAACTGCTCCATAGGGTTTCCAAGGAGCAGCTGGTGGATTGAACTGCTGACGTTTTGGTTAGCAGCCAAGCTCTTAACCACTGTGCCACCAGGGCTCCCACTTTACTATAGTTAAGTACAGTTGTAAGTTAAGTCGTGCATCCCTGTATCTTCCTGACAGATTGATCACTTTGGGGTTGTACCTTCCTCACAGATCGATCACTTTGGGGTTGTATCTTCCTCACAGATCGATCACTTTGGGGTTGTATCTTCCTCACAGATCGATCACTTTGGGGTTGTGTCTTCCTCACGGATCGATCACTTTGGGGTTGTATCTTCCTCACGGATCGGTCACTTTGGGGTTGTATCTTCCTCACGGGTCGATCACTTTGGGGTTGTGTCTTCCTCACGGATTGATCACTTTGGGGTTGTATCTTCCTCACAGATTGACTACTTTGGAGTCGCCGCAACGGTCTACTGCATGCTCTTTGGCACGTACATGAAAGTGAAAAATGAGGGAGGAGTATGGAAGCCGGAAGGTCTTTTTAGAAGGTGAGTATCCGCATTGGCGCTACAGTAACAAGAGAACGAATAGAGCAGAAAGTTGGGTTCCATCTGGTGGGAGGTGGATGTCTGCCGCCACATGCAAAACCCACGCGTTGGGCAGGATGGTGAAACGGCACAGCTGTGGCACAGGGAGCCCTGTGACCCTGAGCACAGTACAGAGCCTCACCTTGGCTTCCCCATTTCTGAAAGTGGGGCAGACAGCACCCTCACAGAGTCGGCATCCTATACAGTCAGGCGTTTCCCTTTGCCCTTTGGAGAAGTCAGCTAATGATCACTGAGCCTCGCAGAGTCATTAAGACTTCCTGACC